AACAAGCTGCAATGAAAACAAGTAAAAATGAAATTAAAGTAAAAACTTTAGACTTGATAACTTTGTTAAAAAATTAAGAAGTAAAAAGTAGGCTGAAAAATAATTACTCAAGTAAAGTACAGTAACAAAGTATGTGTACTTAGTTACTTTACAACTCTGAGCATAATACACGATTTGACCCGTTACGTCACAACTCTGAGCATAATACACGATTTGACCCGTTACGTCACATAATTGCCATTTTATCTTTTGAACTTGCCTCAGCTAAAGTGAAACAGGAAGTGAGATCAAAGGGGAACTCTTCGAGAAAGAAAACTGTTTTTTATTTATTGAAACAATATTATTTGAACTCTGAAGCTCTCATCTTTTTATGATAGATTAAAATAATTTAAAGAAACATCAGATTCTTCTCTAGTCTGTTGTTAGCCATAGTAGCAATGCTCTGTTCACATTCAAACATCCCCCCTGTGACATCACTTCCTGTTACTGAACATACAAATATCTCAATAACTGTTCATCTCAGTGGCGTGAAATCTTTTTTACAACACTTTATCAGTGTTATCTTTCCAAAAATACATTAATATTAAATACAAAAATTTGACACTTTAATGCAAGACATGTTTTTGGACAAGATTTTCCTCCAGCATCGATGTTTCGACATGATCGCGTCTCGACTTTAAACATTTGGTGCAGTACTCAGGTTTAACCACTTGGTGGCACTGCCTCACTTCTCTCCCTGCCTCCTTCCAGACACCTACGTGAAGCTCACCATGCTGGACTCCAAGGGCAAAGAGATGTCCAAGCACAAGACGGCCGTGTGCCGCGGCCAGCCCAGCCCCACCTACAAGGAGACGTTCGTCTTCCAGGTGGCGCTCTTCCAGCTGTCGGAGGTGTCGCTGGTGCTGTCGGTGTTCTGCCGGCGGAGCAGCCTGAAGCCCAGGGAGAGGCTGGGCTGGGTCTCCCTGGGCCACGACAGCACCGGCGAGGAGCAGCAGACCCACTGGGCGGAGATGAGGGAGGCGGAGGGCCAGCAGGTCTGCCACTGGCACACGCTCACCGACACATAAGAGACGGCTCGTCCAAGAACCCACCTGCAAAACAAAAACAAAGGAGCTTTCTCCCCTGGATGCACCTCAGGAGATGTGTGTTCACATTTCTTGTGCGTGCGTGAGGACCAGCTTTGGTTCCTGGCAGTGGCGTCACTAGGCCTATTTTAGGGGGGCTGGAGCCCCCCTAAAATGTTTTAAAGCCCCCCTAAACTATTTTGGTGTTTACAAAAATTCAATATGATGTGGTCAGAATAAACAACCATT